ACTCAGATCACCTTTCTTCCCCATACTGATGCTGGGTTTGAACTGCAGGAGATTGTCTTGACCATGTCTACATGCCTAAATGCACTGAGTTGCCACCATGTGATTGGCTGATTAGAAATTAAGTGTTAACGAGCAGTTGGACAGGTGTACCTAATAAAGTGGCCGGTGAGTGTGTATGTTGTGTTGGTTATATATAGGTTATATATGTTGTGTTGATTATATGTAGGTTATATATGTGTACGCTGTGTAGTGTCTTGAGTCTTCCTGTTATAACCGTGGTGTGTGTGTGTGTGTGTGTGTGTGTGTGTGTGTGTGTGTGTGTGTGTGTGTGTGTGTGTCATGTTGTTCATGAGTCGGTCCACAGCACAGAGTGTGATGTTTGGTGTCAGTGAGGGCACTTGGTGAAATCTGACCCTACACAACCACTGTGTCACTCAGAGGGAGGGGGCAGATATGCTGCCTGTTTACTCTGACAGAGAGAAGAACATCTGTCCAAGCACACCTGAGAGCCAGAGTGAGTCCTGGAGCAGAAACTGTTTGGGACTGGACCTGTAGAGGGACACCAGGGATCAGAGCCTCACAACTGGTCCTGCAGAACCCCAGCAGACGTTCTGGACCTGCTCTGAGGATCATGTTCCTCCTGGTTCCTCAGTGACCGAGGTCCAAACAGTTCCAGAACATAAAACTTCAGAAGCAAATACTGAGCCTATGCTGGAGGACAGTCCCCCTGAACCAAAGATTAGACCTGTAGATGTTTGTTTGAAGGTTCTGCTGTTCCAGTTAGACTCAGACCTGCTGGGTCCGGTTCAAGAACTCTGAGTTCTAAACTGCTTCAGAGGAGACTTGGTCTGCAGGTGACATTAGACCAGACACTTCTGAAAGCTCCCATCAGAACCTCCTTCTTCTGGTCTCTTTATTGACCTGTGGTTCAAACACCTGTTCTCACCTGTTCTCACCTGTTTTGTCTTTCAGAGGTCCCTACATTTCAGTATCAGAAGACAGCCTTATTTGGAAATCTTATGGACGAAGGTGAGTGAGTCCTGCTGCTCCTCACTGTGTTTCTGACTCTGGTGGAGTTTCAGAGTAAAACTGAAGCTGTTAGGATGACTTGTTACATAAAGTGACACGAAGTCCAGTCA